AGAAGCCAGGGAACCCAGGCTAAATGGGGCCATATAAGTACCACAGACAGAGAAATGTGGATGAAACTGTTGGACTCACATAGAATGAAAGGATTTAGAGTCAGTAAAATAAACTCAGCAAAAGATTGTGAGGTGCTTAGATACTATAGTAAAAGAGGCTGTAAAAGCACCATCAGTCAACAGCTGTGGATGAAACTGTTGACCCCATACAGAGGCAAAGGACTTACGGGCAGTAATTCCCTGAATCAGCTGCTTTGGAACAAAGAATGGCCCTTTTGTACCACCATTGCCTGCACTGTTACTGGTCTCTCTAAGGGAGAAAAAAATTCTTGCAGAGGTACAGAGCGTGTGATGAATGGCAGCTAGGCTTCTATCCAAGGAAAGGGTTAAAAAAAAAAAACTTCCACAAAAGAAAGTTGCCTTTTGAAACTATTAGGCAGCATATGTTGTGTGAACAGGAAGTCACAGCGGAGCAATAATCCTGGCAGCTGTGGAGAAACAGGAGCCTGCTGCAAGAATGAACAATTCGAGACCTGACAAGAATGATGATGGATGCCCCGTTGGTCGTACGCGAGGACGAGGCAAGAGCCATTTAAACTGACTGAACCACAGGGACAACTTTGAGTTGGCATTGCAGCCAGACAAGCTGGCCTAGCTCTAACGGCAACGGGAATGGGAGGAAGTGCGAGGAAAGAGAGAAGTGCTGTTCCTCTCCTTCCAAAGTATGGGGCCCTAGATCCTGGACCTGATTCACCAAGGTACGTCATCAACTCCCAGCCAGTGAACAGGCCCATTGACTTTGATTTAGACATACACTTAAGTACCTTCCTGAACTGGTTCTAAAAGACAAAGGGACGGGTGTGACCCTAAGCATCCCTTTATGCCAACTGGCAAAGGGCATACTCAATACACTGTTGTCAGAGTATCTAGCCATATAGTGTCCTGTAAAGTATCATATAAAAACTGGCAACACAATGGTCATGAATCTCATCACATGGTGTATGTAAAGAGTTATGTATATGTGTGGGAATATGTTCCTAAAATAAGTTTTGGAGGCAGTGGGCACACAAGTCTGCCTTAAGAACATAAGAATGGCCATACTGGGTCAGACCAAAGGTCCATTCAGCCCAGTATCCTGTCTACCGACAGTGGTCAGTACCAGGTGCCCCAGAGGGAGTGAACCTGACAGGTAATGATCCAGTGATCTCTCTCCTGCCATCCATCTCCACCCTCTGACAAACAGAGGCTAGGGACACCATTCCTTACCCATCCTGGCTAATAGCCATTAATGGACTTAACCTCCATGAATTTATCCAGTTCTCTTTTAAACCCTGTTATAGTCCCAGCCTTCACAACCTCCTCAGGCACAGAGTTCCACTCCTTAGAAAAAGGAGTGTTGTTTTTCCTCTTTGCCTGGTCTCACAGCAAACTTAGCAAGGTGAGGCCAGAGTACATTTATATCTAAGGTAAACAAAGTGATTAAGCCAACCAGAGAAGTTAAATTGATCAGAGGAGGAGGGAGACAGCATTGCACCTGCACAAGCAGCAGGGAAGAAAAAGCCTTTTCTGGAGGTACACTTCAAAGGTTCATTGGACTATAAAAAGAAGGAGAGAGAACCCCCTAGAAACCCCTTAGATATCCACTTAGGAAAAAAAGGGGACAGCACCCTCTGATTCTGTGAATGTTGGATCTTCCTGCCAGGAAGGGCTGGAGATGCAGTAAATGAGAAAGCTGTTTAGGCAAAGACATACCTTGCTAGAATTAAGTTTTAGGCACTAGAAAGTGTGCTCAGTTTTGTTGGTAACTATTTTCTTTTCTGTGATCTTGCTTGATATCACTTAAATCTCTATTCTTATGAATAACCTATTCTTAGTTTGACTATAAACCATCTCAGTGCCATTACAGTGAAACAAAGAGGGAGTCCTTAGCTAACCAAGCAGGCTGGGGTGTGTACTTTCTCTGTGGAGCCAGTGAACTCAGTAATTTCTGTGAGTGTCCAGTGAGGAACTGAACACAGCGGAGAGACATCTCTGGGGAACTCAGAACTGGGATTCACTGTTGGTTACCTGCCCAGCAAGGTTAAGATGGGCAGAGTCTCGAGGAGTTTGCTGGTGAGGCAGATAGACTGGTGTGGCAAGGAGCTGATGCACTGTCTAAGCCCCAGCAAAGCTCTCACTTGCTGAGGCAGAGGGGTAACACAGGGGCTTACGGTTCTGGGTATCCTGAACAGAGAGTCACAACCACACCTGCAGCCATTACGCAGCTGATTAGTTTTACTGGCACTGCTCTCACAAAAAGCCAGGCCCAAGGCCCTAGCCGTTTGGGTCATTAATGACTATTTTGCACCTTTGGTAAGAGCAGGGGCGATAATTCTGTGGCGCTGGTCAAATTGCAGTCTGGTCATTTGGAAATGTATAGTTCCTTGCTTCCTACCTCAAAACAAAGATTCCAAGAAAAACACAGGACACAACAAGAAAACTCAGATGAGCTGTCTCCATGGAATCTATGCTCACTAACACCAGCTGAGGATCTGGTCTTTGATCCATAACGTTCTCCCAGGAGTGCTTTCTGCTGAACCTTTGCTCTCTGTTCACCTTCCCCCATGGTCCGCTTTCCTTTCTCATTGTGTTACCCGTCTCATTCCGACTAAGCTTAGTGGGGTGAAATCCTGCTTCCACTGAAATCAATGGCAAAACTCCCATGGATTTCAAGGGGGCCAGGATCGAACCCCTGATATTCTTATTTGCTTGAAAAACACCTTATCCTCGCCCCCCCCCCAAGATGCCACACAAATAATAAATGCTAATTTTTCCTCCACTTTCAAGAGGTTGCAGTATACTTCTCCACTTCCTGTCCAATTTTTTCAGTGTAGTGTTGCTGTGTGCTGTTAAACAGCTGCCATGTTCTACCCCTGAGATGGCTGTATTATCAATCTCCCTATGGCCCAATCCTGAAAGATGCCGAGTGTCCTTCAGCTCCATTGAAATGGATGGGTGCTGAGGCTACTTGTGGGATTTATAAAGCACTCTGGAGTCCTTGTGGATGCAAGGCACTATACAGAGTAAAGCTAATGGTATGATGCCTTCTAAGAAGCCACAGGTTTGGTTATTGAAGGATATTTCAGGCACAAGTAGTTAACAGAAACAGCAATAACCATTTGGTCTAAGTGAGCAGGAAAAACGACTGAGGCAACGGTCCAAATTCTGCACTGACCTTCACCCTGAGAAACTCAGCTGATTTCACTGGGGTGGCAGAGGAGAAATTCAGTGCAAATTCTGACCCTAATGCACAAGAGATAGATTTGAGTGATGAGGGATGGTGAGGAAAAAGGAAGATGGCAGGATAACAGCTGGATTGGTGGTGAGCTATATTTTGTGCACAGCTCAGCTACAAGACAACATGCTCATAGTACCCTTACTTCACCCTCCTCCTCTCCTCCAACCCCCACCTGTGGTTCCCCCCGCCTATCTCTTGCATCTTGTCTTTAACAAAGATTGTAAATCCCTTGGGGGCTGCCTCTTTGCTACATGTCTGTACAATTCCGAGCCCAGTGAGGCCCTGATCCCTGACTGCGGTCTGGTAGCGCTACCTTGAGAGATTCATAGATTTTAAGGCCAGAAGGGGCCATTATGATCAACTAGTCTGAGCCTTCTGCAGAACACAGGTCAGAGAATTTCATCCAGTGGTTCTTTCATCAAGCCCATAACTTCTGGTTGAGCTACAGCTGGTCTTTTAGAAAAGACGGCCAATCTTGACTTAAAGACTTCAAATGATGGAGAATCCACCATGTCCCTGGGCAAGTTGTTCCAATGATTAATTACCCTCATTGTTAAAAATGTGCACTTAATTTCTTTTCTGAAGTTGTTGAGCTTCAGCCTCCAGCTATCAGATCTTGTTCTGCCTTTGTCTACTACACGAAAGAGCTCTCTACTATCTAAAATCTTCTCTCCTCATAGATACTTGTGACCATGATCCAGCAACTTCGTAACATTCTCTTGGATAAACAAAAGAGACTGAGCTTTTTAAGACTCTCATTCTAAGGCAGGTTTTCTAGACCTCAAATCATTCTTGTCACTCTTTCCTGAACCCTTTCCAATTTGTCAATATATATTTTTTATCCTTGCAGTATTTATCCTACTGGTAATTAGTAATAAAAGTCACAAACCAATAATCATAAAGCAAAAAATGTTAGGACAGATTGTCTCTCCCCAAGGTTTCTAAATTGTGCTTTCTCCTCTGTGTAAGGCAGATGTGTGTGTGTGTGTGTGAGTGTGTGTGAGAGACAGAGAGAGAGAGCAAAATAAGCCTACCGTGTTTTCCCCAAATATCAGGCTGGAACCTCAACCCTGTTGGGCGTTTGTCCAAATGGAGTGATCTGAGGTTGATGGCCAGGAAGACTCTTTAAATAACTTCACAACTCTTAATTCTAAGTTGTAGAGATGAGGATAAGAACCGAATTTTGCACTTTTTTGTGGTTGCACACAGGTGCAAATCAGAGTTCAGCTTGGCTCTAAATTCTGCTTCCGTCATATTTGTGTGCTTTTCTCTGCTGAACACCAAAAAGGTTCCTCATTGTTCCCATATAGACCGTTATTCCTTGGCAAAGAAAAAGCATTTAGACACTGGCAACAAGCCTGAATCATCCCTGTGCAACCAGTGGGGTTACCCCAGGGATAAATCTGGCCCAGCTGGTACAACATGTGTGATCGTGTGTCTTTGCAGACAATCAAAACTCTATCATTATCAGTCACGGGACACTGCGCCTCTTGAGCTCACATGTATGTGAAATGATATCAGTGCCACCCTGGCCTTTTAATGAAGTAGCTAAACAAACCCGAGGCCCCACACGCCTCAGCTGCAATCCATTTTCCCTGGAAGAAGATTCAGAAAGCACCAATAAATCATCAGCCCTTCCTCCCCTCACCCCTTCATCAGGCCTCTGGGCCGCATGGGCAGAACAGATCCCCGAGGCGTTCTCCTCCATTAGCCTGCTACTCACCGGCATTGTCTGGCTGCCATGCAAGGCGTTGATGGCTGCTTGGGCCTCTGCATGCGAGGAGTATTTCACAAATGCACACCCTGCAAGAGGAGGGAGAGGAAAGAGAAGGGGTTTTAAAACCAGAGATCCGAAGGCAGCAGGCGTCTAACATGGGCAACTGCAACCAGCCACATGAAAGGGATTTACTCTATTGAAAACCCACGTGTCTCTCCTATCTACATAAATTATTTGCTATTTGCAGAGTGCTACAGATGGGCATCACCCATTACAGTCCACAAGTGCTCATCTCTGCCCCAAAGAGCTTGCTGTGATGACACAAGAGGTGAGAACAGGAAATTGCATTTATGGGATGGGCACCACCTTGGCCAAGGCCATCTATAGAACCTTGGACTTCCAGCGCTAAATAGCAAATGTCACGACAACTTGAGCTGGAGCGCCATGCCTTGGAGCTGTGGGCATCAACAGAGTCACATCCTCTGTGCGTCAGCCACGGCGAGGACACACAATGCACACAGATCTGGGGATTACATTTGGGTGTTCAGAGGTGATTTCTCTTAGCCTCTTCTAGCCAGGTTTGGGGGCTGAGTGGTGAATTTGTATGTAGGCACTTCAGGTATTAGCGTGAAGAGCACCATATCGTAACTTTACCCAGGAGTAAGCCCTGTGTCAGGGGCAGGGAGTCTCACATCATCAGTATGGAGAAGGTATTACTATAACTATTTTAATTGACACAGAAGAAGATAAGAGACTTTCACATAAGCAGTGGCCAAGGTGAGAAAACCCCCAGAAGTCCCGGCTTTCAGCCCTTTCTCATACTATCTGGCTATCCTCCCACACGTACCCCTGAGGATTACAAAAGAGGCTATTGAAAGCATGGGAGTTAAAAACATTGGGTTTTTTTGGGAAAACAAGCCCAACCCTAAAATGTAATTGGGAACCTGTAAATTCCCCCCCCCCCCTCCAACACTCAGACTGCCTCTCGGGGGAAGTGTAGCAATTGCAGTTGTAGACGGATCGAATTTATAAGGGGCTAAGAGAAGACCATCATGAGAAAGTGAGATAGATAAACTTCAGCTGGAAACAATAAGGATCGATTATCACATAATCGCAGACCTGCATTCCCGGACGCCTGAGATACTTCACCTTCCTTTTCACTAATCAGAGATAATCCAAAATCAGGGTGTTTAAGTATTTGCAGAGATTCTTTTACACTTTCTGCTTCTAAAAGGAGGATGATTAGCAAGTATACAAAAGCTTTCCGGGTCCAGTAGCCCAGAATTTTGGCTGCAGCTATCAAACTGTGTTCCTTTGTTTCTTGGAGTGAAATCCACCCTCTCTGCACAAAGCCTCAATTAGTGGGAGCTATGCAAGAGTTGGAATTTACTCTGTTCAACCCACAGGGTGTCAACACAACCCCTCTGCCGCTGTCATTCCCTGTTGGGTTTTGAGATTAACTGAAATTCTTGCTCTGGACAAAGGACCAATGGTATTTAGACACCTAAAATGCAGCTAGATACCTAGTGGGATTTTCAAAAGACACCTATGCATCTACCTCCCACTGAAATAAATAAGGGTTAGGCACTGAAGGCGCTTTTGAAGTTTGCTGCCGGCAAACTCAGGTGCCCAAATGTCTAAAAAGGTACCTGATTTTTAGCTGATCGCTTCCTGAAAAATCAAGGTCCCCCTCAAAGGTGTTGAGATCCTCTGCAAGTCCCTCAAACCGAGGCCCCCAATACCCTTCAACACGGGAAAATGTCGGGCCATCTACTCAGCAGGGGCTACACTGATTTAATCCAGCTGAGGATCTGGTTCCTCGTGTCTAAGCACTATAAGAAACCACATAGAATAGAATAGAAAAACAGCCCAAAGTACACTATAGGCATCATCATATGGGTGACAGCCGCAGCAGCTTGCCCACGGGCATCATCACTGGAGATCTCTGCTGGGACAGCTCACCCTGATACGCTAGTGGGGAAGAAATGGAACAACAAACAGGAGTTTTTTGGGGGGAATATTGTGTGCTCTTTGCCAAATGGGGTGAAATATGCAGTGTGCAAAACCTGCAACATCGCAATAGACATTATATGTGGTGGTGTTTAAAAACATAACATCAAAATAAATAAGCTGATTAAATGCAGAAAAATGGAAAGGAGAAAAAGGCCCAACATATTGATTATTTGTCTTCCTGTAGCACCTAGAGAGTCCAAAGATCAGGACCAATGAGATGATTGCTAGACACCGTACTAACACCTAGGAAGACTCACTCCCTCCCCTGAAGGGGTGCACACTAAACAGAGAAGACAAGAAAAAGGTGGGAGAAAGGAAATATCATCAACTGCATTTATAAATATCGTTTACAGATGGGACCCTGAGGCCCAGAGAAATTAAGGGTCACGCTCAAGGTCACACAAAAAAACAATGATAAACTGAAGCCAGATCTCCTGCGTCTGAGCCAAATGCCTTAATTCCAAACTCATCCTTCCACTCTTAGGTCTTGTCTGTTGCCCACAAAGCACAGTATGCAGCAAGCGGGGGTGTAAATCTCTAGCACACTAGCTCACTGCAGAGAACTGTCCATGTGGATCCTGCTATTGCACATTAAGAGTTCACCGTGCAGTTTGACGGTCTGTTGTGAGGCCTTGTCTGGGCGAGGCTAGAAGGCAAGTTGGCACATTTTAGCTCACACGTGCTAACGAAAAGTCTAGTGTGATCAGGGCAGCGTATTCTTTGACATGTGCTGAGCTGGTTGAAATGAAGCCCTGGCTCCCTTGATGTCCTTGATCTGCTAACACGTGTTAAAACTACAGCTGCCTTGTCTAACCTTTTCCCCTAGGATAGACATGGCCGAAATCCTACTCTAGACAAGGTCTTAGAAGAAGAAAACACCATGAGAATGACTGTGTCCTGAAATAACTAGTTCTTCCAGGGAGATGTATCACACTGGCCTCTGGCAGGTGGAGTAGCAGCTTACCTGGAGTTCCTGCTAGCTCTTCCCCACATCTAACTGTCTCATGAGATAAGATAGCTACCCTGTGCTTCCCTGTTGGCTGGCTGTTCTGTGTGTGTAAATCAGGGGCCTCACAGCTTCCGTAAATAGCACCAGCAAATGGAAACTGGTAATATTAACTCTGTCAAGGCTCAGTATTGATCCCAAATAGCTTCTGAAAAGCAAAGGCTGAGACTTCTGCTCACTCGCGCTAATAATTAAACTGGTTAGCAATATGGAGCTGCCACTCAAGTTCAAGTTGTAAAAAAAAGAGAGAGAGAGCAGGAGAGAATAAGTCTCGAGGGCTGTGTCCTCCTTGGAACCAGCTGCTGACAGATCTCAGTGATTATTGCCTTTATTATTACTGAGGTTTGATTCCTTTGTGGTTATCTTTTATGCCTGACAGCTTTGGGTGAGTGCAGAGGGGCACTTGAATTTCCTGCTTTCCCTTATCCCAACTGTTTTTTTCAATTAATGGAGTGTCTAACCTCATAAGATCAGTGGGGTGGAGCCCCTCCAAGTTAGCTCAGTCTATCCCCTTCCAGTCTGGCTGGCTTTTGCTCCCCAGTTTATATAATACAGTTAGTTGAAAAATATATTTAAAGAAAAATGGGGAAAATTGGTCCCATTTTTCCCCTATTGAAATTCAAAACTGTGATGACCTTTTTCATTGAGATTTGAAATTTTTCAGCTGGCATGAGAACAGGTCATATACCAGGGCTGAATTTGTCCACAAATATTTATGTGAAAAAGGACACCCAAACTTTCTGTTTTGGTCAAAACTTTGATGAAAAACTGAAATTCAGAAAATGTTGACCAGCTGTATTCGTCAACCACCCGTCAGAACGGATAAATGGGATTGTCAGCACGTCACTGCCTTTTCCTTCGGCGTCTCCAAGCGTGCAGTGGCTGAGGTGATTTTTCAGCTTTCTCCACCTAAACTAACCAACTCTATTCACTAAAGCAATAGACAAGAAAGCATTCATTTCCCTTCCATCAGCAAAACAAACCGTGCACTGAAGAAAAGTACTGTCATTCTTGGGAGACCAGGGTTCAATCCCCTGCTCTGCCCAGACTCCCTGTGTGACCTTGGGCATATCACTTAGCTCCTTTCTGCCTCAGTTCCTCATCTGTAAAATGGAGGTGACAGCACTACCCTGCCTCACAAGGGTGTTATGATGCAGAGACATTGGGCTGAGTCCAGTCCCCTGTTATCACAGGAAACTACTACATGCCCTACTGTATATTCTCGTAGGCTGCATCTGTCCCAGATTTCAATAGCTCCACCAGTGGGGCTTCTAGTACTTTCTTCAGAGGTCTTTCCTCATTGACCTTATTGCCAGGAAGTGTTTTCCTGAATTCCAAAAGAAATGTCCTGGTTTTTTTTATTTCATCCCCAAGTTCTTCAACTAACTCACCCTAAAAAGTTCTCCCTGCATACAGACTGTCAACTACAGCGGGTCAAAAAATGGAAACAAAAATTTCAACATGGAGAATTTCACAGAATTTCAAGCCAATGTATTTCAAACTTGTGAAAATTTCCAACCAGTTCTGCTGTTTGGCATTCTTTGGATATTTGTCACCAGTGATCACCGTGTGCAATTAACTTTGCAGACACCAGCCATACCGCGTCGCATGGCTACTTGGACATCATCAGGAGGGAAAGAACTTAGAAGGAACCTTCCACTCCGCAACCACAGGTTCCCAATGTCTGAGCTAATGGGAAATTATTTCAGCTGTATTGGTGATCTGTGCTTTGTGGGCATCCAGCCACAAGAGAATGACATAATCACATATTAATGATTAGTTCTGACATTTCATGAGACATTAAAACCCTGTGGAACTTTCTCACAAAGGGGCCATCTATCAGAAGTCAGTGCAGTGCTGCCAACCCCACATGTTCAAAAAACTCATGAATCGGCCCTAAAAATTCCGAAGACTGGCTTAAATCATAGTATTTAAAAATAATAAATGTGCGGTTCTTTTTGCTTTCTGGGTTTTGAGCATCTAGATTACAGCCGGGTCTTGTTTCCAGCCTTTCCCCGCAACTGTGAGAACCAGGCACCTACTTGTTTTTTAGAAAGTGAAAGCTGA